ATCTACTATTTATGATGGCTGGATTTCATGATGGTAAAGGATAGTGGCACTTTTTTTTTTTTTGCTTTGTGCTCATTTCCAAACATCAGCCAAGCTTTCCTGGATAATGCACATGTAAATGCAGTTTAAGAGTGGTTTTCTGTATTAAATACCCTCCTTACTTTGTGACTTCTTTGTACTCCTCAAAGGCCTGAAGGGCACCTGTGAGGTCGGACTGTTTCTGAAGCAGCTGAGCCTTCAGCTTCTCAATAGTAGCTACCGAGGCAGTGTCGGCCGCAGGGATTAAAGAGGCTGCTGAAGCTGTGGAGCAACATACGTTTATTGACATTTATACAGATATAGGCTATAATACATTTACTTGAAATTTTTTATATGATGAAACAGATGGTTATCTTACTCTCTGTGCGTCTGTCTGTCTCCACGGCACTTTGGAAGGCCTCTTCCAGCTCAGCAGAAATTTGGACTGCAGCTTCTTGAGCTTTCACCACTGATTCAAGAGAGCGAAGTTGGCGGTTCTCCTCTCTGAGGATGAAGTTTTCCGCTGCATATCGAGTCATCTTTGGGTGATGTTCAACCTATAAGGGCAGAATTGTGTATGTGGGGAAAACAGTGATTTGAGAGGGAACAATCTGAAAATTATAAAATATATAAAATTATGTTAACATAAAAAATGGTTTTGCATATATTAATTACACACACTAACTGTGTAGCCCCACATTTAAACACATACAGTCATCAGCAGTGGGTTAGGCAGTGTTCAAATAGAATTAAATTTTGTACCTGATCTCTCAAGATCTTTATCTCTTCTTTTAGCTGGTCAATCAAAGCCTGAGACTCCTTGTCTGACGGTAAGCCTTGTCCTGCCTTCAATTTTTTCTCAAGGCGATAGATGTGGTCCTCTCGAAACCTGACAATCATTCGGCTGGAGTGGATGAACTTGTCTTTCTGGGTCCAGGCCTCCTCGAGCTGAGACACTTTCTCCAGCAGCATCTGAGTGTAGTCAAATAATGCTATAAGTGTCCCTGCACAAACAGCATAATAATTTCCAAAAATAAATGACAATTGAAAAAAAACAAAAAAACAAAAAAACCATACCCTCTTCTCCTCTTCTCGCCTCCTCCACAGACGAACAGCAGCCATGAACTTTGCTTTGTATGAAACGTCAAGTTGAATTTCTGCGGATGGACCTGATAAGAGAAGCTCATTTACACTTTTGCGTAATAACAGCAAATATTTGTTTGGAAACATGCAACTTTGCATGAAATACACATAAACACATTTGGTCTGTGTATTTTTACCTCTGGGGAGTTCAGGTCCTCCTGGCGCTACATCTCTCCCATAGTCCACTGCCCGAGAAGTTAGCGCCTGTGCAAGCTGCTCCTTCAGCTTCTTCACCTCAGCTTGTAACTGCCTCACATTTCCCTGTGTGTCTTCATTGATGATGGCCTGGTAAAGCAGAATAATTTCACATGAGTGAGGTTATAAAGTGCAGTTTGAAACCACCAGAACTTGGTTATGTGAAGTCTAGTGTGTTTAATGACAGATATTGCCAGAATTTAATTGAATAGATACCTTATTCTTGATCAACTTTGCCCTCTGAGCAAACTGCAGGGTGGACAGTGTTTCTCCAAAACACTTTGAACCGGGATGTACATTGGCTATGATGTAAGTCTTTGCATTTCCTCCAAGAGAGTCCTGAAATAACAACAATAATTGTAACAGTGCATACCTATTCAAATAATAAAGTACAATTACATCAAGTGTAGTATATAAAGTGTTATATACTACAAAAAAAGAATATAAAAAGGAATTTAAACTCCAGGGAGATCCACACTGATACACAGAAACATAAGACATTCTCCACCAAAGCAACACCCAAGACGTATTTAGGATGACTCACCCTTAGCAAGAAGGTGAGTTTAGAATCTCTGTAGCAGATGTGGCGGTTCTTCCCATTGGACACATCAACCAGTGCCATGATCACCTGACCGAGACACATGAGGGAGCGATTGATACTGCTGGCCTCCTGAAACGAGAAATAGTGCAGATAACAGCTGTTAGCAACAAAAATCATTAATGTAGTGCCTCATTATAAGACTAAATTCATGTAAGAAGCGTCACCTTGAGTCTGGAGCCTTCTGTGTGTGTGTCTTTCTGCCTCTCAGACCCTGCAAGGTCTACCAGGTTCAACTGAGACGTTCGGATGTTCACCACTTCATTGATGGACTCTTTGGACTCCAAGGTCATGGTGAACACTGCGTGAGATCTAGAAGACTCTCGGTTCATGGAGGTGGAGGCCACTCTTCGATTACGCCAGCCCATGGACAGCACCTAAGTGGTTTCAAACACAAATTCTGCATTCTTCCACAGTACATTTCTTAATTAAGATGGCACCTGCATTTAATTGTCCATTTTATGTGGTCTCACCTCTGTGCAATAATTTGATACTGCTTGATAAAGAACACATTTTATATCGGACAAATTATTTTCTACATTGTGATAATGGAATTTGATTTAAGGTATATAGTAATACAGGGGTTTCATCCTCTCTAGTAAGACTTGAGTGTAACTGTGTATTATACCTTACAATAACCATCTATAAGCCACAACAAGCAAGGGATTTTTACCTGGTAGGCTTCAGCAGCTGAGTTGACAAACTTCTCCACAGCTCCCTCGACAAATAAACCTTTCTTGATGTTCTCCCTGAGGAAAAGGCTGGCTGACGCTGTGTCCAGAAGGTCATAAATTTGTTCATTGTATATCTCAATAAATGAACATTTGCAAAGGAAACTCTTGGACTGGCCAGACTTTTAGGAAAAAGAACAAACAAAGGAGCAACTTCATTAGATAACAAACACTAAATATTGGTTCAAAATACTGTCATGGTGATGAAATCTAACAATTCACCCTTTCCACTTCTCTGTTGATGAGAAAAAACAGGTACTCAAAACTTCGAGGAATAACCCCTCTGAGTTCATCTGTGAAGTTATCCAGCTCAGATGGCCCTAGACCGCAAAAAGAAGTGTCACTACAATTTTTCTATTGCTGGATCTTAAAGACTTTGTTGCACACAATATAAATGACATATGCTCACCAAGCATGGTGAATGTTTTCCCTGAGCCAGTTTGTCCACTGCAGAAGCAAGACAGAAATGCAGTAAGAAACTGAATAGGTGCGTCACATTAAGAACAATGCAGAGTTATTATGCCATAAAATAGTTTTTATTTAATACGGTTCACATTAAAGACCACTTACTAGGCAAATATAGTACCATTGTATCCATTCATGCAAGACTCAACAATGTTCTTGGCCACACTGGAGAACACAGAGTCCTGTTGAAGAATGACAGATAAAGACCACGCAAACGCTGAGGAGGACCAACTTTATCACAGTGTTATCCTGATAAAACGATAAGTGTATGCTTCCAACCTGTGATGTGTCCATGTCAGCAACATGGTCATAAGTGAAGGTTCGTGGCTCTGGTTTTGATAACAGACGGATGGTGTTGGGTGAGGTGACTGTGAGACACAGCTTCTGATCTCCATCTGTGGTCAGCCCAGTGCACTGAGTCAGAGGTCGTACTCGCACAAAAACTTTGATGGAATCACTGTCATTGCTGTAGGGCCAGAAATACAAATATAACTATTAATATTTGTAAAGCATAGAATTGAGCTGATGTTGTTGAGAACTACACGTCACCATGAAAAGCAATGGTGTTTGCTACTACAGGTGCCCATTAAATTCAGAGGGTATGTGGTATGAAAACATTTACACCCCTGTAGCTGTGCTCCTCAGTGAAATCAGTAAACCTCAAAATCACTATCACCTTAGACAAAAACAGTTAAGTTACCACACACATATATCTTACTGCAGGGTTACTCAACTTGCTTTGCCCAGGGGCCACCTTTGCAAAATGACAGGAGGTCAGGGTCCAATCACAGCAACCCAAAACAGGTATGGTGTACAAAGGGACGTTTTAAGGATCTGAGGACATTGGGGGCTTAGTCTGGACCTCTGCTGGGATTTTTTGGTAAACAAGCTCTATTTTCATACCCTTTTAATGCACTCTGGCGCCATATTTACATTAAAAGTACAAAAAATCCCCAGTGTGAATCCATTTATTTTATTTTGGGGATTAGACGATGGTTTAGGGGCCAGATTTGGCCTGCAATAGTAAATTGAGTATCACTGTCTTACTGTAACGTTACATGCATAGTATTAGCTTTGATCAAGGACCACATACTAAGCGGTTATGGGCAAATAATTATACGTTTATCTATGTTATGTATGAGCTACGTTACGTAGCAACGTAATATTAGCCTAATGTCAGTGTTGTCAGTTTGTCTTTGGATGAAACAAGCAGGTACATTACCTGGCAGCAAGTTGGCTTGAGTCGCCACATCCTGTCAACAAAATTAAAAGACTGTTAAGGCTTGTTTAGTTATGGTAAGTAAGACAAAATAGCGTTAAGGTTAACATTTGCTAAACCATGCTAGCTGACTCCGACTACATTAACTACCGCTAGCTAGCTAAGATTACCAAAAACCCGTGGATGTCTGCGTCAACAAGTTTGACATATTAACAACATATTTGTTTGCTAGCTGAGCAAATGTTTGGTACGATACCTTTTCCACTGGAATTCATTGTCGATTAAGAAATGTTAGCCGTTATGTGGTAAAATGAACTTTCTTCATGGTAGACAGAGAGGAAAGAGGTCGACGCTGTTTGTGTTTATCCTTCGAAATTGGCGGGCAGGTCCGCCTCTACTTCTTCTTCTGTTTCTTCCGTGTTTCATGACGGGCTACAAACCAGGATAAAAGGTGCATACCGCCACCTACTGTATCAGAGGGTGTAAGATCACGGCCTGGGAGTCCCGCCCATTGGGCGCAGCCGTCGGTTGGATCATATCCGTTCTTTAGCGTGATTGGCTGCTGAACCAGGAAGCGCGTTTTCTTTGAATGTTTCCGGCGATTTCATTGGTACGTTTCAAGACTTTTAAATTCCAAACGGTTGTCACCCGGTGGAGGCGAGGGGTTTTCAAAATTGCACTAGTCATTTCAGGTCAGCCTGCTGTCGATTATTTGGACGAAAGACTTTGTAACTCCGGCCTGTTGTATCGTGTTTTTTAAGGTAGGTGGATAATGTAGGATCACAATGTAGTAACATAGTTTATGCTTTGTGCTATCTGTTCATAATTGTGACCCAAGTTTGTGTTTTCTTTCTTTTTACGTTAACTGTGGGTAAGTTAGGTCTAATGTTAGTTCTCAAGTAACTTTAACAGCTAGCTTTGCTAACACAGCTTTGCTGTCAATTTGCTGTGAACGCTAGTTATCCTAAAAGTAGCGTTAACGTTGGACTAACAGGTGTCGAAATTGGTGTTTTTTTTATGACCAATGTCTAGTTAACGTCGTTCATGTAGGTTAACGTTACCGTTAGCTTATCCAACTGAGCAGTTATTTATTTCCAGGCTTGCTGGAAACTTTGACTAGTTAGCTGTCCACGTTGAAATACTTTGCCCTCTAAAGACATGCAGTATTGAACGTTAACGTTGTGTATAGCTAAGAATAACGGATGAATAAAACCGTTGGCGACTTTAGCCCCAAAGCAACACATCATCAAAACATGTGACTCACTGACGATGAGTGCGCACAAAGCTTGCATGCAAGTGTGAATGAATAGCTTGGGATTTAACCTGTTCCTGGCCCTCAGCAGCAGACCACATCACCATGTAATCAAAATGTTATATAATATTTAGGGGCAATGTTTCACAGTTTGTTATAGGTCACAATTGTGTACTTGCTAATCAGATTCACTACATATTTATCAATCATTAAAATCCTCCATAGATCAAAAAGAAGCAAATAAAAACAGTCATTATTAATATAGCCATCCAAATTCACTGGAAGTGTTTCACTGCCTTGAGAGCATGTCACCAATAATGCTTGTTCACAACAGATATTTTGGCATGTGATAGCATGAAAAGCATAGGCCATTAATAATATTACCAATGGCAGCATAACATTAAGTTTGTCCTCTTTCAGGGCCCTTGCATTGTGTACACTTGCTCACTTGCCATTATTAATGTAACTAGTTACACCTGTGCTTACCTAGATTTAACATGTCAGGGTTGACAGATCAGTCATTAACATTTGCATTTTGTCTTGTATATGAAACCACTTTAACTTTAGCCAAAGATCCAGTTTTCTGGGCTTTATAGCCTGAACAACACTAGATTTTTCAAAGCAGATGCAGCAGTTATATATCGGATATATTTAGATGTTTTTAAATAGGTAAAGGTGTATTGGCATGTAGTAATTTTGAATTTTATATACTTAACTCGACTATTTACAGTTGAAAAATTAACCTTTTAACGCTCTCTGGTGGGCAAACTATGTAATGACAGCACTGTGTCAACCTCATACATTTTGGCTTTGCTGTATTCCTCTGGTTACCCATTGGCCAGCATGTACACTGATAATGATATACTGATATATTAACAATACACTGATATTGGCTTAGCACACTGTCTAACTTAAACATCATATTCCTTTTCCACCTTTTAGGAAGGAGTGTATTATATTAGTAGAAATTATAGGCATGTCCCACACATAGTTTGACCAGCTTAAGTAAATTAGTGGAGTCACATTTGCCTTGATTCTGCTGTTAACATTGTCATCTGTCTCTGTGCAGATCTTTTTAACACACATCAGTAAACCCTGCAACCAAAAGTCTTATCAACTGGGTGCAGCTTTCAGGTTGACGCCTCCCTCGTGTCGTCAGACCGTTCCAGCCCCATAACTTAACAGTTTGTCCCTCCACTTTGACAGGATGAGTTCGGTTGATGTGAACGATGAGAATCGTGGCGTCTGCCCTGGAGGAAAGCAGAACAGCATAATTAACGACATTTTTGCCCTGGATCAGCCAACTGGGAGACCCTCCATCCTGCGTCAGACAGAGAACCTGCCCAGCAAGACTGTGCCAAAGGGGGTGAAGGTACAGAACAGCTTGCTTTTTTTTTTTTTTTTTTTTTTAGATGTTGTGCCCTCCTTCTCATCTCAACTCTTTTCACACACCTTAATGACAGCAGGCTGAAAATTATAGACACTTTTAAGTGTCACCAACCTAAGCTTTTTCCATAGCTATTAGATCTTGACATCTGCCTGTTTATTAGTTTTTTAGTTTTAAATATTTGATTCTTTAACCATAGGAAGTTTGACCTTGATGTTGCCAGACCAAATCACAAACACAGATTCATCTGGTTCCCAGGCAAATTAAGTTTGACCCTCCCCGATGAATTTGCAGCTTAGCGCTCGACAATTTTAAGCAGATACTTATACCAATACTTATCGAATTACTTGTGTCTAGGTTTGTTTTCAGACTCCAAGAAGAGACCCTGTGACTAAAAGAATTGTATCTCCCACCAAAACTGCCAAGATGACCAGTGTGGACGAGTGTACAAAAGCAATGGAGTCCTTAAATTTGGATAAAACTAAGTAAGTAACACTTCTCATACTGTAACATGCCTCCCATTAGATAATTGGTCCATTCAAGTAAAATCTGTTTTGTTTTTGTAGTACTTTACCACAAGACATCACTGAGAAGCCTAATGAGCCCAAACAAGGTAATTCATCCAACATTACAGTTATTTTCCTTAAATTTCCCTGAATGCAAAAAAACATGACAATTATCTTCTTGAATTTTCCACAGATGTGTCATCCTATCCAGATGATGACATGCCAATTCAAAGCAAAGGAGGCTATCAGTTGGATTTTGACAACCTTGAAGCAATCAATCCATTTCAGGGCTCTAATAAGATGGTCCTCTCTCCTGCAAGGCCTGCTGTTGAAAACCCTCCTACAGAGTCTGAACCCACAAAGCCAGAGAATATCTTGGAGGAGCCCACCAAAATAGAATCTGCACTAGACGAGACACTTCCATTCACCCCGTCTGTGGAAAACTCACTGGTTGACATGTCCACCAACATCAGCTCCACAGAGAGTAGTGTGGTCACAGTGGTGAAGGTCCCAGAGGTCGAGGAACAAGATTCATGGACTGCCACTCCCAATGAAAAACAACCTGCTGATATGTCTCCAAATGGCGATCAAGACAAAGTGTCAGGCAGTTTTGTGGAAGATGCTCCACTGCCAGCAAAAGGTGCTTACAACTTGGATTTTGACAACCTCGATGCAATCAATCCTTTCCAAACAGGTGGCTCTAAAATTCAGAATTCCCCTGTCGTTGGGAAAAGGGTGCCAGACATTACACCACCTATCGAGGAGACACAGGCAAAGGAAAATAAACCCACAAATGTTGTTGACATACCTGAGGTGCCTGTTCAGCCTGAGATGAAACCCGTAGCTGCAGTGGCTCCAATCTCAGCCAGTGCTGCTGAAACTTCAGCTGCTGAATCCAAGTCCCAGCCAGCTGATGCCCCAACCAAGGAGGGACCAGTCAAACTTGAGTTCAACTTCGATGATGGCAGTGAGGTCAAACGGAAACCGCCACCCAAGAAATTTGGCAAGAGGCCACCTGGTTCAAAACCTAAAGAGGGAAAGCTGCCATGTGACGTCAAACCACCAAAAGCAACTCCAGTGCAGCCTGATGCCAGTGATATCACAGATGTTCCGGTTCCCAAAGGGTCTTACTCAATTGATTTTGACAAGTTTGACGACCCAGACTTCAATCCTTTTGGCACAAAAGCAAACATGAACAACTCTCCAATGAGTAGCAAGAAATCCGGCCCAGTGCTCACGGAAACTTCGATTCCAGAGCAGCCGGACAAGCCTGTGGAAAAGGAAGTTGTGTCATCAGCGTGGTATGTTTACCTTTTTTATCTGAGTGTATCAAGCATTTATTTGCATTCAACACTTCACTTGCCAGCAGCATTTCATTTCACATTACATTTGTATTCTTCTGCCCTCTGTAGTGCTGAAGAGAGTGTCCCAGCTGCAGAACCCAAACCTGCAGTAAGTACTGCAGTGTGGTACAATCCTAATCCATTTTTTCATTTCAAGGAGCAGTATGTGAGATTGAGGGGGATTTAGTGGCATGTAGCAGTGAGGACTGCAGATTGCAAACCATGCGAAACTTTTCCTGGTTAGAATTCCTTCAGTGTTTATTGTTCAGAAGGTTTTTACCGGGTGCTGAATTATCCGCAGAGCTCTCTACCTCTCCAAAACAAACCGACCAGGTGATTAAAACCTGTGATAACACTGAAGAAAGTAGTTTCATGTTAGATGCAGTCTAACAGTGGATGCTGTTTGGCTTGTTGGGGACGGGATGCTAGCCCAGCACCTGCTAATGTGTGCTCACCTTGTGATTAAACACTAAAGATAACACGCTTATTATATTATGTTCCGTTTCTACCAATATATCCCCCAAAATCCCACACACTGGATTTTTAACTTTCCCTCAGTTGCATCTTTTTCACACAAAATGTTTTTTGCTATTGTGGAATGACAGAATGCTGAAGACAAAGCTGCCACTGACAGTGATAAGGGATTACAGCCTGAATCTGTACAACCCGTGGAGAGTCTCCCTGAGCAGAAGTCACAGACAGCCATGCCAGAATTCAATGATGAGTTTGTTCCTGGAACTATCTGTAAGTAAATGTGTTTTGTTGAGTTTCCACAAGGATCTGTGAATGTTTCTGTCCCCTTAACCTGGAGTTTAAAAAAAAATCCCCCCAAAACAAAAAACGTTAAATGTGATCGCAAAAAAGTTGAATCACTTTCCTATTAAATAAACGCTTCATTTTATACAGCAGAAGTGTATTTTCTGTGAGGCAACATGAACTGGAAAGCTCATTCTGACGTTATTCTGTTTCCTTTATTCTAGTCATGGCCAATGACTTTGATGGACAAATCGATTACCTTGAGCAGTTTGGCTCCAGCAGTGTAAGTATGTCATGTACAGTACAGGCCAAAAGTTTGGACACACCTTCTCATTCAATGCGTTTTCTTTATTTTCATGACTATTTACATTGTAGATTCTCACTGAAGGCATCAAAACTATGAATGAACACATGTGGAGTTATGTACTTAACAAAAAAAGGTGAAATAACTGAAAACATGTTTTATATTCTAGTTTCTTCAAAATAGCCACCCTTTGCTCTGATTACTGCTTTGCACACTCTTGGCATTCTCTCCATGAGCTTCAAGAGGTAGTCACCTGAAATGGTTTTCCAACAGTCTTGAAGGAGTTCCCAGAGGTGTTTAGCACTTGTTGGCCCCTTTGCCTTCACTCTGCGGTCCAGCTCACCCCAAACCATCTCGATTGGGTTCAGGTCCGGTGACTGTGGAGGCCAGGTCATCTGCCGCAGCACTCCATCACTCTCCTTCTTGGTCAAATAGCCCTTACACAGCCTGGAGGTGTGTTTGGGGTCATTGTCCTGTTGAAAAATAAATGATCGTCCAACTAAACGCAAACCGGATGGGATGGCATGTCGCTGCAGGATGCTGTGGTAGCCATGCTGGTTCAGTGTGCCTTCAATTTTGAATAAATCCCCAACAGTGTCACCAGCAAAACACTCCCACACTATCACACCTCCTCCTCCATGCTTCACAGTGGGAACCAGGCATGTGGAATCCATCCGTTCACCTTTTCTGCGTCTCACAAAGACACGGCGGTTGGAACCAAAGATCTCAAATTTGGACTCATCAGACCAAAGCACAGATTTCCACTGGTCTAATGTCCATTCCTTGTGTTTCTTGGCCCAAACAAATCTCTTCTGCTTGTTGCCTCTCCTTAGCAGTGGTTTCCTAGCAGCTATTTGACCATGAAGGCCTGATTGGCGCAGTCTCCTCTTAACAGTTGTTCTAGAGATGGGTCTGCTGCTAGAACTCTGTGTGGCATTCATCTGGTCTCTGATCTGAGCTGCTGTTAACTTGCGATTTCTGAGGCTGGTGACTCGGATGAACTTATCCTCAGAAGCAGAGGTGACTCTTGGTCTTCCTTTCCTGGGTCGGTCCTCATGTGTGCCAGTTTCGTTGTAGTGCTTGATGGTTTTTGCGACTCCACTTGGGGACACATTTAAAGTATTTGCAATTTTCCGGACTGACTGACCTTCATTTCTTAAAGTAATGATGGCCACTCGTTTTTCTTTAGTTAGCTGATTGGTTCTTGCCATAATATGAATTTTAACAGTTGTCCAATAGGGCTGTCGGCTGTGTATTAACCTGACTTCTGCACAACACAACTGATGGTCCCAACCCCATTGATAAAGCAAGAAATTCCACTAATTAACCCTGATAAGGCACACCTGTGAAGTGGAAACCATTTCAGGTGACTACCTCTTGAAGCTCATGGAGAGAATGCCAAGAGCGTGCAAAGCAGTAATCAGAGCAAAGGGTGGCTATTTTGAAGAAACTAGAATATAAAACATGTTTTCAGTTATTTCACCTTTTTTTGTTAAGTACATAACTCCACATGTGTTCATTCATAGTTTTGATGCCTTCAGTGAGAATCTACAATGTAAATAGTCATGAAAATAAAGAAAACGCATTGAATGAGAAGGTGTGTCCAAACTTTTGGCCTGTACTGTATGTTAAACAGTGACATTCCTCCGATAGTCAGTGCATGACCTAAATGTATGTAAATGTTGAATTTTTTGACAACAGTTCAAGGAGTCTGCATTGAGGAAACAATCCTTGTACCTCAAATTTGACCCCCTCCTGAGAGAGAGCCCCAAGAAGCCTGCAGGCCCGGCTGCTCAGGCCCCTGCCCCTCGCCCCACTGCCTTTGTGTCACGGTATGACGTACCTCTGTTTCCACTCGCGCTGATTGCTGCTGTCACTGGACGTTAGAGCCGAATTTGTTTCGCTTTTCGGACATCCTGTTCAACATAATGAGGTTTGTCTGAAATGTAACCACCCCGACCACTTCACATATGAGTTTCTTTTCTCCCCAACTCAGGCTTGAAACTCCACAGATGGCAGCAAAGGCTGCAAATGGACCACAAAAGGATGACTTCAAACTGCTTGATGATGCCACAGCATCAGTAAGTCACTCTGGAAATGCCTCCGTTAACTGTGCCTGCAAACTTTTATTAAGACTAAGTGGAAGTTTTGGAAATGACATTCAGTGAGCCTCCTAACTTGATTTATTTACATTGGAACTGTCATCTAGGCTTCTCCAATCCTCGCGGACCTTGTCCCTCCTTTCCCCCAGCCAGTAAACACAGAAGATGCCATCATTGAAGTGCTGAAGTACAGTCAGAAAGACATGGACGCAGCCATCGCCAGGGTCCAGGCAGAAGTACGTCTTGCTCAATGTTTTCTGACTTGACAAATAACAGCAGTTGAAGTTTTCCATTTGAAGTCACTTTGTTTGAGTCCATGTGAATACAAAACAGCCACACCAGACCTTGTTGATAGCGTGGGTTTTGTGGTTTTCCAAACAATCCCTGGAGCAGTAATCTGGGTTCAACCACAGCAGTGACGGTGCATTCTGGATTAAACACAAGCATCTAATATCAAAGAAATGTGTTTAACAGGCAAATGTCAAAGATTGTTCAGTTTATAGGGTTGTCAGTGTCAGCTGGATTGGTTATTTAGAACTTTCTTGCCTCATTTACTGAGATCAATGCTCCATTTACAAGTGGGGAAATCATTTTGAAACACGAGGACCACTTTAGACACAGTATTCAGGTCAGTAGCAATTGTGAGCATTAGAAATGTCACTGATAGTTTTTAACTCCTCAAAGTCCATTTTTAAAGCTAATTTGTGATGAATCAAGCTCCTAAATATATTTAGTTTTTATAAATGGTCGTTGAGTAGTACACATATGACATTCTAAAGCAAATTCACAGTTTTACATTAAATGAAAATAAAAAGTAGCCCCGATTTAAAACCCTTTCTAGGTTGGAAAATGTCCTTACAATAAACTAAAAGCTTAAATTGGGTATTTTCTCAAACAGGGAAAGGAAACAGAGGAGCAATGGAGTGCAAAGTATAAAAAGTTACTTGACGATGGTCAAGAAATGAGGTAAGCTGTTCTTGGTTTGTTTTCCTTTTGTCATCTAATGCAGTTTTATCAATGTTTCAAGACATTTGACAACCCTTCTTTTGCCCCCACAGGAAAATTATTGCAGAATTTGAGCTCATGATTGCAAAAATGATGGGTAAGTTCATACAAATTGTGACTCTCGCTTGGAATTTCATTTCCCTATATTGCGCTATTATCTTGCGATTTTGGTAGCTTTCTCTTGGATGCATACTGCTTACTGTCTGACACTTTTTCCCAACCCTAGCAGTGCACTATGCCATGTTCAGAAGGTCTCGAACATAGCTAAATAAGAAGAAAATATGGGCAGAGGGCCGTCTCTGAAGATAAATAAACTGCCAAACACTTCTAGTGGGTCCTTAGTGATGATTCTGAGGGATTAATTCTGTACGAGTCTACAGTTTTCCAGGAAAATCCTGCATTGTAAACATGTTCAAGGATTTTCGATGGTGTACTTACAAAAGCTTTTTAATTTTCTTGTATTTAGCTGATCAAGAGAAGGAGAGGGAGGTGGCCCAGACAAAGCTCACTGAGGCTCTGCTAGAGAAGGAGCAAGTGTCCAGTGACCTCAACACCATGGAGAGATCTTTCTCTGACCTTTTCAAGAGACTGGAGAAGTACAAGGATGTGGTTGAGGGCTACAAAAAGGTTAGAAATCATGATCACTTGTCCTGTTATAAACCATGAATACATGACAACAAAAGCAAAAGCCGTGGCAGCTTGATTGATAAATTGTTTTCTGTGCTATTTCCCCCAGAATGAAGAGACTCTGAAAGCTTGTGCTCAGGACTATCTGGTGAGGATCAAAAAGGAGGAGCAGCGTTACCAGACCCTGAAAGCCCACGCTGAGGAGAAAATTGCCCAGTAAGAAACCTTACTCCTCTGTGTTAATTGTGTAAATTGCAAGAGGTACAGTGTCTGACTGGCATGTGTTGTTCATCTGCAGTGCAAATGCAGAGATTGCAGATGTGCGGTCCAAGAACAAATCTGAGGTATCTGCGCTTCAAGCCCAGCTGAAGCGGGAGCAGCTGAAGGTACAGTCACTGGAGAAGAGCCTGGATCAGAAGGTCAGTGAAGATGTAAAGTAGATGATGTGTGTATACAGTGGTCTTGGAAGCAAGATATATGTGTTTTCTTAATTTCCCTTTGTTTTTTTTACACAGGAAAAGGAGGTTGAAGAGCTCACCAAGCTTTGTGATGAACTGATCACCAACGTGCAGAAGGGTTGAGCTCTTTTGTAAATACTGTATATTTTTCTTCTCTTTCTTCTTTGTTGGTGTCCTGATCATTTTCTTGTGCAGTTTGTTGTTCGTCTTTGTTAATGTTCTTCTGGTACTGTAAAAAAGTTAATAAAGATGATTTACAAGTTTTAGTGACTCTCAGTGTTGTCTTTTTAATATTTTGGCATGATTACAAACCACTAGGGGGCAGCATTTGCCTTTAATGGTTTGTATCCTGTCATCTGGGTTTTGGATTACAGTCCTTACTTATGGATATGGAAGTAAATGGCTATTTGAAAGCTAAGAAAAAAAGTTTTGTTCTATGTAGACTTTCTACTTTAAACACACAAAGCTATTCAATGTAGTTGCCCCTCATCTGTCTGGAGCCAAAGCTCATCCCCGTCCTGTAATGCTTACAACAAAACAAGAGCCCACCTGATACAATGCTCCCCTTCTTTCCTGAGCAATCACAGGGTCCTGTCACATCACTCCCAGAGGCAGGACAATGCACTTCCTAAATGGTGAAAGGAAATCCTACCTAGATTGGAGTTGAATGAGGTGGTAGTGCGGACCGGTGAAGGGGGGGATAGAGAGGGTTGAGTCACTTAAATGGGAAAAGATGCTGGTCACTCGGTGTAGTCTTGCAGGGGCCATCACTCATCTAAAAAGGACTGTGTGAGAGACTGCTCTTGTGTCTGTATGGTATCTATTCAGTCATTCATCCCAGCAACTTCTGTCCCTCTGCTGGCTGCCCTCTGTGTCACCCGCAGCAGACACTTCAGCTTGCTCAAAGGAAGAAAGCTGACCTGTCTGTACCCAGCCCGCGTTTTAGGACAGGTAACCGCCACAAAACACCTTGGTTAAAGGAGCACTTCACTCACAAAATGATCATATGTATATCAATTACTCTGTGTTACACTGAATTCAGGAGGAAAAGGTTTTCTTGCATGCCTGCAGTGACTGAAGAATCCAAAAATGGATAAAATTCTTGCTGAATTGGGATAAGGGGGGTCCCTCGTTTAACAGCAGCAAAACTATATCACATGGGTGTGTTTTAATTCTGCTCCATGAAATGCACATGCAGAGTCCAAACTGAAGGGAGCTCAGAGAAGAGCCACTGCTCTTTCACATTGAAAGGGGCCAGTTGAGGCGGTTCGGGCATCTGGTCAGGATGCCCCCTTAGGCGCCTCCTGACAGAGGCTTTCCAGGCACCTGCAACCGGTAGTAGACCCGGAACACACTGGAGGGATTATATGGACTGTTTCAAACATAACTACATAAACATGTTAAATGGGTCCGAGTGTATTTCCTGTTGGGATGTTGGTTAATGCAGGTGCTGACAGGAAGTAAGCAGGGGCCAAAGCAGTTGCCGTAACAACACAATAGCAATGAATTGGTCTGTATTTCATCTGGCCTCGGAGCGAGGTTGCACTTTCTAAGGTATGGCCTGCCCTACTTTCCCTCTGGTTGGCTATTACTTGTTGTCTTCGTTGGTTGGATTGGTTAGGTTCAGGCAAGAGAAGTGAGAGTGGTTAGGTTTAGGGTAAGAATGTCAGTGTAAGTCAATCAGAGGCAGAGTGGGCAGGTGGTTCTCTCACTATCCTAGGAAGCACAAGTTTGCAGCCTGGTAACGTCTCGGGGTCCTCTAGAACAGGACAGCCCAAAGTGGAGCTCGAGGGCCAAAGTTTGCCCACCATAAGACTTGATATGACCTGCCAGATGTTTTTAGTAAAAAAAATAAAATAAAAATAATTAGGTGAGGTAAAATGCTCTTTAAATATGTAGGATCCTCAATTTATTTTTTTCATAATCTGAGCATGGCAGGCAAAGTGACACATTGAGCATTAAGTCCGTTTGGCACAAGTGAGGTGAGAAACAAATGGCCAAACTGCAAACTGCCAAAAGGCATTTCAATTGAGGGAACTTCAGATCCTAGCAACATTTTGCATCTTAACAATACAAAACAATACAACAGGTGTTTTCTTTTGGCCCATGGCCCACCAGTAAGTTTCAGTTTTGGCCCTCCAGGGGAAAAAGTTTGGACACCTCTGCTCTGGGAGGAGCTGGTAAACTTTGTTGGGGAAAGGGACGTCTGGAATACTTTGCTCAACCTGCGAAAATGGATGGATAGTTTTAGTGAAAATGCATGTGTTTGAGAAGTACTGAGGATACAACTGGATAAATAAGACTCTGATTATACTGCATGAGTTGTGTGAGTTTGTAAGCAGATGATTTGATATGGTTTTGCTGTTTACTTAGGTTCATCAAGAATTTTCTCTGTTCACTGTGGAGGCATGTGAGACAAAGTTCAAATTCCAGTTAAAGGTCTAGTGTGTAGGATTGAGTGTCATCTAGTGGTAAATTTTGCAGACTGCAATCAACTGAAACTTCTTCCGTGTGTCAAGCGTGTGGGAGAAATACAGTAGCCAACATGAAAACAAGAAAAAATATGGAAGAGGACCTGCTCCATATATAGATAACAATGGCTCACTCTAAGGAAACAAAAACATTCTTATTTTTGGGTGATTATACACTAATAAAAACACAGATATTAATAATACATGCCATTTCTGCCAATATATCCCCCTAAATCCTACACACTGGTAATTATGTGTGTGAAGAATTCCTTTAACAAGAGCGGACAGCAACCTTTAAAGAACATAAATGTGTTGAACAAATACATTAATCTTCCTGAGGAATGTGACAAATTCATTTCAGGTCATTTAATCAAACTACCAAACCATCAAACTTTAGATGGTTCGGTTTTTGAGCTTTGAACAGAGTACAACATCATACAAGACTGTCAAATATAACCAATTACATACAGAAATACCTAAATATTGGCATGAACTAAATGTGATTAAACTGGGCGACAAAGTACTCAAAATGTACTATACACAACAACAACAGTATATTTTAATAACATTACATAGATATGTAAAACGCCTTACTCTGAAAAATAAACTTTTGATACATTTTTTTAGCAAAATAAATTAAATATTCATGATTCATTTTGATTATAAATGACTACAGCTTCATACACTGTGGTTGGTTATGGTGGCATCCTCTGCTGGTTTATTTCAACATGCTACTAACTGATGATGGGAACCTACAGAAAATAGTTGAAATAATAATGAAGACCAATTCAGTTAACATGGAAACACGATTCGTCCATCCCTTGCAGTCTCAGGCAAGGTTTGCATGCCATAAAAAGGCTGTAAAAACATCTACTTTTTTTTTTTTTTTTTTACCAGAGAGCAACAGTGAGGGATGGAGAAAGGTAATATAAAGGATAGTGGTCAGCATTCCAAACATAATGCATCTTTAACAAACAAAAGGACTACCTGAGTAGGGCACAAAAACCAGCCCCTTTTGTAAATCTCGAGTACGATTTTCATCTTCATTACCAGGCAGAACGGACAGAGCCTCTGCGCTCCAACAGCTGAATACGTGAAAGGGAGAACCTAACCTCCATTTTCAGCTACACCTCAAGTAGGAAAATGCAAAAATCAGCTGGTGAGGAAGACCTTTCAGCTGGCCTGAATAGCTGCGATTCAACTCACACGCAAAAAAAATGTCCTTGTCCTTTTTGTCTTAAGTGCATAACAAGGATTACTGGATTTTAGTGGTGTGAGAATCTGACAGGTAAAAAAATAAGCACCAAATATGGAAGTTTGGATGTGATCACTGGCCACCACTTTTTTCCCATATGCACACTCTCCCAACCATCTCCATTTATAAGAAGAGTCTATAATGCCAGGTGAATGTCGATCAGGAGCTGCTGTTCAGTCCACAACTCTTTGTCCCTCTGAGATACTGGAGCAGTTAGTGGGGGATATTTGGCACTAGAGGCTAACACTGAAAATGAATGTGTTGATGCTGATGTACTTTCCCGTCCACATGGGAGTGAGTGTGCGTGTGAATGTCAGTGTAGATTTTGGGGTAGATTTTAGGGGGGATTGTTGGTCCTCCCTGGGAGAGGAGGAGCTGCTGCTGTGCGAGGTACTCCTCATAGTTCATGGAGTTCATGCAGTCTTTCTCCGGGCTGGAGGAGCTGGAGGACGGAGCCACGCAACCCCTGTCTCGCTCTCGATACGGCAGCCTGTGGGAGCTCTGCAGTACCTGTGCAGCCGCAGCTGGAGTGCTGGGAGGGGGACAGTGCTTTCTGCTCTGGCAGAACCACAGCAGCACTGTGCCAAAGATGAACACTATTCCAGCAGGGATGCCAATGATGACAGGCCAGGGGAGGGAGCTGGAGGCTGGTGAGAACATGGGCGTGATGGGAGGCTTCGTGTCTGCAAGAGAAGAGGGGCCAGAATAAAATCAAAACAGGTTTCAAACTCTTGAATGCTGCCAAGAATTTGTTTACAGCTCAGGTGAAGTGCCTAAGGCCTGAACAAATGATCGTTTTCACTATCAATTAATCTGTTGATTATTTTCTTTCGGTTCAGCGTTCAGCCATTAAAATGTCTGAACAACATTCCAAAACCCAAAGATGTTTAAATCCTTTCATCTTTGGACGGAGACGGGTTTTCGATCTCATTCTCATCATATACGACCATCTGTTATCACCACCTGTTCCATACTTCGGTCATGTGACGACTGAGGAAGACTGGGTTTTTCCTCATTTGTCTGTTTTGTGCCTCCTTGACTCCTCTCTCCTCCTGCCTGTGACCCAAAGATCAATCTCAGCATACCGTCTCGAAGGATGTCTCAATTCCTACGGAGGCATCTTGAGGAAAGAGGCGTGAGGATGCACAGGCACCCATGACGTATAAAAGAGACGTGACACACAGCCAACTACGCAGCTGTGCCACACGTCATATTTAATTGACTTTGCTTTAAAATGAAGCACAAATCTCTCATTCTGATAAATGCCTGTTGCCCCAACTCCTCTCTCCTCGTGTCTCTTCCTTGCCTCCTCTGCTCACATCTCAGGTGGGGGGGACAAAGGTATCAGGAGAAGAGGCAAGGAAAGGAATAGAGTGTGTATAAACTGGGAAATGCCACTGAAAGCTATGCAGTGAGCGAGTAGGTGACCTTTGAGTACATTTTTTGGCCAAGTTAAATTAGTTTGATTTAGATTTTATTTTTCGTTAAGAAAAAAATAGCATTTGTTTCCATCAGTCTACACTCAATAACCCAGGTCTACAGAGAGCTCTTTGGCCTGACATGCAGTATGAATTGTGGGACCTTATATACACAGGTGTGCACCTTTCTAAACGACGTCCAATCAATTAAATCTGCCACAGGTGGACTCCAATCAGTTCTACACACATCTCAAGGATGATTTAAGCAAACAGGATGCACCTGACCACAACTTAGAGTGCCAGGGGAGCAAAGGATATGAATACTTATGTCAATGAGAGAATTTAGATTTAGATTTTTTTTTTAAATTTGCAAAAGTATTGTAAGTTTTCACTTCATCAGGATGGGTTATTGAGTGTAGACTGATGGGCAAAAATGGCAATTTTCTCCATTTTAAATTAAATCAACAACATAAAGTGTTCAAAAAGTGAATATTTTCTAAAGCCACTGGGTCTCATTCATGAAACGTGACCAGAACAACTGAGTAAACTGTTTGCAGAAGGAAATTATTTCAGCATTCATCAATATGTTAGTAGCTCCAATCCTTTGTAGGTACTAACAAAATCTGCACCTGCTTCTGACTGCTCGTGGTGCTTGTGTAAATAAGGACTACACATAAATATTGCTTGTCATTATTAGAAATTACAGTTTAATTCATGTTGTTATATTAATACATTTGGCTAAATTAGTTGACATGTGCACCCCGTGCTCCTCTTCTCCTCCTCTGCCCTTTTTTACGCACTGCAGCCCCAAACTGCATGTCATTTTTGTTTAATTTAATTATCACAGACATGACCTGGGAGACGTCAACATTATTTCACATTGAGTTTTGGTTTTAAAAGACTTGTGGATGTAGGAAAGCAATTCAGTGTCTGTCTCCGCTCACACCAGGCAGTTGGCAAACTGGAATCTGCCAGAGAGGTGGAGGGAGACAGTGTGGTTTCACACCAGACTACTTGTTGTTAAACTTAGTGGCGGGTTATTGCCTACATTAGACTGTCTGTATTAAGATGTTTTAATAGTGGTTTGATTTCACAACAGAGACAAAGAATGCTGAGGCTTCGGGCAAACACTACCGTTACCTGGCTGTCCATGACGGCAGGTGCAGAAGACGTGACCTCTGCAGGGCACTTTGATTTGCATGTGGCTGACACAAGGGAAGCAAGCAGTGCACTCATCTGTAGCAGAGAGCTGTGATTGGTAAGAACCTCCTGTGTTCTCGTGTTTTTTTTGTATAAACTTATGCAGATTTTTTGCTTCAAGTTTTATATCAAACCATTTTTCGTTGGAGTTAACGGCACCCGTCAGGCTGACAGGATGTACCTCAACCTCCATATATGGTGCTCACTGGCTATTCATGGGCGGGGATGTACAGTACAGGCCAAAAGTTTGGACACACCTTCTCATTCAATGCGTTTTCTTTATTTTCATGACTATTTACATTGTAGATTCTCACTGAAGGCATCAAAACTATGAATGAACACATGTGGAGTTATGTACTTAACAAAAAAAGGTGAAATAACTGAAAACATGTTTTATATTCTAGTTTCTTCAAAATAGCCACCCTTTGCTCTGATTACTGCTTTGCACACTCTTGGCATTCTCTCCATGAGCTTCAAGAGGTAGTCACCTGAAATGGTTTCCACTTCACAGGTGTGCCTTATCAGGGTTAATTAGTGGAATTTCTTGCTTTATCAATGGGGTTGGGACCATCAGTTGTGTTGTGCAGAAGTCAGGTTAATACACAGCCGACAGCCCTATTGGACAACTGTTAAAATTCATATTATGGCAAGAACCAATCAGCTAACTAAAGAAAAACGAGTGGCCATCATTACTTTAAGAAATGAAGGTCAGTCAGTCCGGAAAATTGCAAAAACTTTAAATGTGTCCCCAAGTGGAGTCGCAAAAACCATCAAGCGCTACAACGAAACTGGCACACATGAGGACAGACCCAGGAAAGGAAGACCAAGAGTCACCTCTGCTTCTGAGGATAAGTTCATCCGAGTCACCAGCCTCAGAAATCGCAAGTTAACAGCAGCTCAGATCAGAGACCAGATGAATGCCACACAGAGTTCTAGCAGCAGACCCATCTCTAGAACAACTGTTAAGAGGAGACTGCGCCAATCAGGCCTTCATGGTCAAATAGCTGCTAGGAAACCACTGCTAAGGAGAGGCAACAAGCAGAAGAGATTTGTTTGGGCCAAGAAACACAAGGAATGGACATTAGACCAGTGGAAATCTGTGCTTTGGTCTGATGAGTCCAAATTTGAGATCTTTGGTTCCAACCGCCGTGTCTTTGTGAGACGCAGAAAAGGTGAACGGATGGATTCCACATGCCTGGTTCCCACTGTGAAGCATGGAGGAGGAGGTGTGATGGTGTGGGGGTGTTTTGCTGGTGACACTGTTGGGGATTTATTCAAAATTGAAGGCACACTGAACCAGCATGGCTACCACAGCATCCTGCAGCGACATGCCATCCCATCCGGTTTGCGTTTAGTTGGACGATCATTTATTTTTCAACAGGACAATGACCCCAAACACACCTCCAGGCTGTGTAAGGGCTATTTGACCAAGAAGGAGAGTGATGGAGTGCTGCGGCAGATGACCTGGCCTCCACAGTCACCAGACCTGAACCCAATCGAGATGGTTTGGGGTGAGCTGGACCGCAGAGTGAAGGCAAAGGGGCCAACAAGTGCTAAACACCTCTGGGAACTCCTTCAAGACTGTTGGAAAACCATTTCAGGTGACTACCTCTTGAAGCTCATGGAGAGAATGCCAAGAGTGTGCAAAGCAGTAATCAGAGCAAAGGGTGGCTATTTTGAAGAAACTAGAATATAAAACATGTTTTCAGTTATTTCACCTTTTTTTGTTAAGTACATAACTCCACATGTGTTCATTCATAGTTTTGATGCCTTCAGTGAGAATCTACAATGTAAATAGTCATGAAAATAAAGAAAACGCATTCAATGAGAAGGTGTGTCCAAACTTTTGGCCTGTACTGTATGCTAATTGCTGACTAGCAGGAGCGCGCTGTCAGTTTATGATTGATTGGCATTCATGAACATACACACGTACCCACAATCAAATCCAAGTTTCTTGCAGGGTTCATGAATCTGGTGTAGGTTTTTATGTGCAGATCTGCTCACAGATTTACTAACATTTCATGAATGAGACCCACTGTATGTAGTCACGCTCTTATTTCACTTTGACAGATTCCTCTGATGTTGCTGTGTTATGTGCGCCAATGCAAATTCCTAAAAATAAACAATCACATAAAATATACAAACTGATATCACAGATCATTTGTTGCTCTGCAGTATATTTGTCAGTGCTACACTACAAACAGACATTCCCCAGTCCTCACCTGGCAGCACAGTGAGGAAGGCGCTGCGGAAGCTGTAGCCCATGGTGTTGGCGCCTAAGCAGATGTACATGCCAGCGTCCTCCTCCTTGGCGCGGGTAATGAGCAGCTTGTTGAGGTAGGAGCCGTCGGGTCGTGACCACACCTCCCCCGTGGGCAGCACCACGAATCGGTGGTCTCCCACCTCGATGGTGGAGTTGTAGCGGCTTTCCTCGTTAGACTCCACACGTTTGAGCCACTGAATGACCGGCTTAACGTCACTCCTCACTTTGCACTGGAACGACGTGGTGCCTCCGTAGTCCACCGTTGTGTTGACCGGGTGAGTGCCAGTCAAAATAGGCTTGGAGTTTGTCCTCTCTGCACAGACACACAGCGAGAAACTGTCAGGACACACACAGACCTTCTTTTGACATGACAGCCCTTCTGCGGATAGAAGAGGTCTTAGTTGTCCATACCGTTATTAGCCTCCGGCTTAGAACTTATAATTGACAGAGAGGGACGAATACCACATGTAACACAAGAAGTATGTGTGATTAGTTTCCTCTCTTTCTTTGCTCCTGGTTCTACAGCACACATTTCTCATGGGGGGGGGGGGGGGGGGGGGGGGGGGGGGTTCTGGCAGACAGCTGGGCTTTAATCAGCTCCAGATTGGGTGGAGGGTCTTTGAGTTGAACAGTCTCCCTCTCCCCCTGTGCAAACACCAGGGCACAAGCCCTCAGTCTCAGGCCTGCTTCCTCAATGTGCTTCTCATATACATGATTACACAAGCACATTCATCCATGCAGCAAGGATATGAATACGACCTGCTGATCGCAATCAGACGTCAGGAGTAGGTAGATCAGAGAGAAGATTTTTTTTAAAGGTTACAGTTCTTCCTCGGGCAAAATCAGACCCACAATTACAAACATTACACTATTTTAATTTCCCGCAGCAATGTATAAAAGATCACAAAAATGATCCACACAAACCGCAGCAATCATTTCAATTAATCACCTCATGTTTTAGCATTAATATTTCCAGGTGAATATGTTTGGTATGTGTACAACTCAGCCTCTCTGTGGGATACTCACGTATGACCTCAACTTTATACGTGGCATTGATTTCCCCAGCCCGATTAGAGACCCTGCAGGTGTATCTGCCACTGTGCTCCGGCGTAAGGTTCTTCAGACTTAGAGTCCACTTTTTCTGACGTCCCTCGCCGACCTCCTGCTCCGTCAGTGGTCTGTCGTCCTTTAGCCATACAATGTCCGGTCGAGGATTTCCACTGGCTGTGCATTTGAGCCGCACTGAGCTGCCAACAGGGCGAGCTATCACCCGTTTTCTCATCTTAGCAGGCTGGGTGAAGCGGGGACGTACTTTATGGGACAGAAGAAAAAAACATTTAGTTACTTCACATGTCAGCAGACACGTGTCTTAAGCTGATGGAGGAAAAATACATCCAAATATCTGAAAGCACAGCAGCATGGTTTGCAAAATTTTTCAATGTGATTTGCAGTAAATAGGATGAACCACTGGTATGGTCTGGTTAGTTAACCACAGCACCATTAATTGCATTCCAACAGAGCTCTTACCAAGCTTTTCTGACAAGCCATCAGTGCCCAGCTCAGACTCTGCTCCATCAGCCGCCGCGGGTCCAGCTTTATCAGACCCTGAGTCATCTGTTCACACAGCAGGACAACAGTTAGTCAACAGATGAGCGCTTAACGAAAAAGCCAGGTGTTCTTTTGCGGTTAAGATAAAGGAAATCTTACAGCACATAATTGTGTGTATGTATTACGCATGATACTAATCAGTCATAAATCATCAACCACATGCTTTTTACATCACTGTAAATGCATTTTTCTGTTTGTATGGCAATATTACGGGAATACTTTACCTCACAAATGATCATTTGTGTATCAGTTACTCACCCTGTGTTACATTCAACTCAGTTTTCAATCCAAGTTTTTTTCCAGCATGCCTCCGGGGAGCGAAACATCCAAAAACAGAGAATTCTTGATGAATGGAAGTAAAGGGGGTCGTGATTAACAACAGTAAAACTGTATCAAAACATCCATCCACAATGAACTCTCACACAACTCGTGCAGTATAATCCAAGTCTCATTTATCCAGTCACATGCTCAGTGCTGCCTAAACATATGCATTTTTGCTAAAACCTTACTATTAAAAACAATCCACATAAACAGCCTCACGCATAGACGAGTAGAGTGCCTTCACTGTTTACACAGAAGTGTTTAAAATATAAAGGTTTTAGCGAAAATGCATGTGTTTGGGAAGTCTTGAATGGTAAGCTTAGTACAAATGGATAAATGAGACTTGGATTATACTGTCTTGGATCTCTCTGACTGTCTGAGGTGTGTGAGAGTTTGTAAATGGATGTTTTGATATCATTTTGCTGTTTTTGGATTCTTTGTTCACCGTGGAGGCATGCGTGAAAAAACTGCTTTCTTCTCAAATTAACACGGGTGAGTAATTGATACACAAACAATCATCAATATTCCTTTAAGGCAGTGTACACTATGGTATTGTAGGTATAAACCCTGCATTCCTTTTCCATCAGAATTCCGTTCTTAATTTTTCACAGTGTCACCGTCACAGTGTCACCGTCACAGCTCTAATGGCAGCGACCCAACACCAGACAGGCCCAGCAAAGCGTTCTTGGCTCTATTTGAGTAGATTTAGCATTTATAGATAGGCTCCTCTGAGCGGGGTACATGCTCAGGTCAAACTCTGTAGCATTTGGAAGTAATATGATCAGTTTTCATAAGCCCGGTTCCAGGAGACAGCTGTGGAGTTTATGTCATTGGCTGACATCATGCAGCCGAGCTAAGACAGGGCTTAGAGAAAATATAATGAGTGAAACCTAATCGACGGTTTGTGGTGCGTATCGACTTTTCGAGTTAAGCATTGATGAATTAACGGAGCAGATCGGATTCCTTGCCAGTATCTGCCACTCGGTGCGGGAAGAGACATTAAGCAGATGATTATTGAAGAAGTGCTGCTGTTAAGTGATTTAATATGGTGCTGCTGAGCTGTTACTTCACATTAGATATTGGTGGTCTGTGTCTTCTTAGCATTGTACAAACTTACCAATCATAAGTCAAGGGAAATATAGACACAATATTACAGGTAAACTGTGTTTAAATAAAAAAACAAAATGGAAAAACTACCAGCCAGTCCTGTACCTTTTGCACCTTTTTCTGATTTCAATTCAGCCTCAAGTTGGATTTTTAAGATGCAGTTTGGCACACTTGATTCCCTCTCAGGGTTTGATTGGGTCAGGTAAAGAGGCCAGATGTGACTTCTAACCCCCTCGTTCTGCCTCCCTCCGAGTCCCCCCGAAACCCTCACCGCTCTCTAGGGTTCTCTGGGTACAAACCCTCCTTTGTTTGTCCCCTGCAGCACCAAGCCCAGCCATGATGTCATGGCTATTTGAAGGGGTTTAACTGGCCAACTATAATAACCCATTCCTTTAAAAAACAGCCTCCACTGGAAGAAATATTTCTCTGTTGCTCACTTGGGCTCTCCACATTCCTCCCGGTTCCTGAACCTCCCAATCCAAACAGAACACGGTCCCACACTGCCGGGGTTTTCTTTTTGACTTTTTTTTTTTCCTGAATCTATTTCCTCTCTACTTTTAGGCGATTCTGGGGAACAATGGTGCCCTTTATATGTCTGTGCTGTTAAAGCTATCCCTTGCCACTATTGTCTTTACACAACATTGGCTCACTAGATGGCAGACGGGGCGAGGTAGACATCTCATGGCTGCCATATGATTGTTATTTTTGGAAGATTGAAAAATGAAATAATCAATAAATGAGGAGCAACTGAGAGGCCTCTAAATACATGAGAGGGCCTCTTGTGTGTACTGGAGAGTCGGTAAAAGCTGCAAGTTATTATGGAATCAGTGATCAAACAAAAATCCTTATAGTTTATGTACTGCATGAAATCAAAGGTTCTTTATGCAAACGGAAATTCAATCACAAAAGTCATGATTCAAGTGCATGCTTACGCAAGTGAAAGGTATCAAATTGTTTAAATGCAATCAGCCTCCTTCCACACAACTTAAATCCATTCATGGTCTCGCTGCAGTGTTTAGGGTCTGACGCCATCCCCTCCCACTTCATTCACAAATCCAGCCACAGGAAACAGGTCACTACACACTCTCCCTGCTGGCCTCCTGTGCCAGCTGAATCACAGGAAAAGGCCTGATGATTTGAGGTCACAATGAGCTCCAGATGTTATTAGGGACATTGTAATGTCCAGGGAAAGTTATGCGCAGTGGCCTTGCATCACACTCTGGAAATCTCCAAACAGCTACCACATGTGATCAGTCACACACACGGGGCAGTTTATCCAACAGTTGACCTGACAACGTCTCCAGAGAGGAGCGGAATGAAAAATGTGCTGCGAGAGCCAAAATCTCCATGTAGAAACAACGAGCCCCGCCAGCCCTGCATTAGCCCTGTAATATATTATCTGTGCAGACATAAACATTAAAATACAATCCTGTAAATGTTAATATGACAATCCCATGTTAATGCGAATATGAAGCCTGCTGCAGACTGAGCAGCTGAGGACGGAGGGGTTGCTGCATGCATCGCTTTGTCCTGGTGGGGGCTCTGGGAAGTGATGGGCCCAGTTGTCAAGAGACCACCCCAAACAGGGCCCAAACAGCCAGCTGGAGGGATTGAGGAGGCGCCATGTTGCACTGACTGACCAGATTCTTGGGATAGCTCAGGGGAGGACAGGCTGTCCGCTGGCAGATGGGAGGAGGGATATCTCTACAGCCGAAGTGGAACCCCCCTTCTCCTTACATCACCCTGCAAAACCCCTCACTCTTTCACTTCCAATCTCACTCCATGTCTTTGCTGTCTCTTCATCTTACCGTCTTTCTTCTGCTTGGCTTCTCAACTGGTTCCCAGGCGATGTTTAAAAAGTTACGCTCTCCACGTTGGGCCTGAACTTGAACTGCTGCCAGGATTTTCGCCGACCCTTCTCCTCTGACCGGCACTATAACCGACTGCAGTTGCCTCTCTCACTTTTTCACTATGATCCACTAAAAATAATAAACTGATATGATGGATACTGTATGCGGAGCTATGCTGGGAGTTACACCTCATTTACAGTATTTCAAATAAATAATCTCTCTCTGATCTTTTGGAGCAACATAATAGGCCTCCCAGCAGGTCACTACAGTTAACTGCAGGCAACTAAATGCGAATGACTAACAATTAGGTGATTCAACGTTAATGGAAAGTGTTGCTCATGATAACTGCAGACTATTTGGCTGTATTAAGCTGACTTCAATCCTGGAAGTATTTTGACAATGAGGCCCCCTAATCTTTGTGGCAAAAGGCACCCAGAATGCAATGCAGCTCTGATGGAACAATTATCTGTAAAAACAAACGCTGTGGTGGTGGCCTGCCAGTGCCTAATGGGATGATGGACAAGAGAGCAGAAAGAGGGGAGGGGGGTTGTTCTTGTGTCTAGAGTCGGTTTGTCACGCACTCACCAGCACCAGAGGACAACTAGGAAATGGAACAAACCAAATCAGGATTAAGAGTCCGGCCAGAAAGTCTCTAGGTAACTCCATAAAGGGCAAAAACACTGATAAAAATCTCATGGAAATATGCTTCCAAGAAAGACTTATGATTAAACTTCCAGTGGTATTTCTTCCACATGTAATCACTGAGTGGGAGCAGCGCATGCTGTCAGGTTGAAGTGATCTCCCAGCAATCCTTGCCAGCTTCATCACATCAGTCTCAAACTGTCTCTACTGAAGTCTTCATTCTCACTCAGTCACACCGCAGCAGAAGCCAAACCAGACAAATTATCTGTCACATTAACACACCGCAGGGAAAATTGTTATCTATCACCAAGATTAATTGGCTGATTGCGTGTGTCTCCCGTATGTGTGTGTGTGAGCGTAGGTGGCTTTAATTTATCAAAATCATTATCAGATATCTTCCAGCTTTAAATCATTACATCCAAAAGCAAATTCCATGTGCATGTACAGTATTATTATTTTAAACTAGAATTACCGCCTTGTGGTTGTATGCCTCCGCGCATTAGTCAAGTTGCACTTAGAGTTTAAATCCATGTCTGTGAAAACATGGACACTTCACACATATCTTCAGCCCGGCAGTACAAAATATCTATGCAGTCCAGACAGTTTCAAGGTGGACATCCAAGATTAGTGTAACCAATTCAGTATCTGACCAAATGTAACCTCTTCCTGAGTTATGACGTTGAAAAATGACCAGAAAAGTGTTTTTGCAAAACATTAAAATGTCATAATTAGAGTATAAATTCTTGAGTTTTGGCCTAAAACATGTTTGTGAGGTCACAGTGACCTTTGACCACCAAAATCTAATCAGTTCATCCTTGAGTCCAAATGAACAGTTCCCTCAAGACATTCTTGAGATATGTTCAGAAGAATGCGACAAATGGACAGCCCGACAACATAATTCCTCAGGCCACAGCTATCGCCGGCGCAGAGGCATAAAAATAAGCTGTCTCATATGTTTGCATAGCTCAGTGGTCGGGGAAACTTTTGCAGACCCTTTTTCCCTTATTTGTATTTGCTTGTGTTGATGCAAGCTCTTCTCAGCTTACAAAGACCTCTCACAATGTCACAGTGGAAGACTTGTTTTTATTCCTCCGGTTTATAAATTACAATCATTAGACAGAGAGTCTTGGCACTTTTCTCGGAACCATTTTTTTCAGAATCTTTCCAGCTGACCCTTTCTTAGGTATTATTCAGTCTCTATTAAAGTTGAGTCAAAGGCAAATAACCTATTTGGATGCAGCATTTTTTTCATTTTCAGTTACAGGTCAACAGAAGTACAGCAGAAATAAGGTCTCCATTTCTGAGCAGGCCTAACTGTTGCTTAATCAATGGGACTCCCTAAAAACTTGGTATCTCACCTGGATGGGCGTGGTTTTGTAGGACATGGCAGCAGGGCTTTATTTTGCATGACATAGCAAATCCATTATCATTTTAGTTTGATGAAAATTAGAAGTTGGAACAAGTGGCAAAGTATGGGCTACTTTTACTTCTAAAGCTCAGAGAATTAGGCAGATTAGACCGAATAATGAACGAAATATAAGATCAATTTATTTCAATTTGAAAATTTATCAGCAGTCACATAAAAGTCATTTGAAAATCTGCAGGGAAGTCTAGTGGCAGTTGCAGCCGTGCCAGCAGTTTAAGGAGCAAAAATCGACAGTAAGTATTTCTTTGTAAATCAATGATAAAAACAAAAATCCCTTTTTGTTATAACTAGCAGTGAGGTCTCCTGTGGGTTTAATTTTGCAATTAAGGCAAGGGTAAGGTTAATAAATGAGGTTGGTTAGCTGCACTAAATAGTGGGAGAAGACTGCAGGAATGAGAGGCAAACCATTTAAAAAAATCAAGATTTCTCCCTAAATTAAGTGCTGGTTGGTAGATCAGATACATGTTGAATTTTACTCTGGCTCATGTTCACGCCACAACTCCACCAGTTTCTCCTCTTTTTCCATAGTGCAAGAGAGCCAAGACTTGTTTACACTCTTGAGCGACCTAAAGTCCCATTCATTTTTACTGGCAGCCTGGTTTAGTGCTTCTTGTTTGGTGCAGGAGAGAGCGCACTGATTGGCTGTTGACATGTTCACCTCACCGAACTTTATTATTTGCACGAGACAAGACTAAAAACGTACAATAATATTTATATAACAATCATATTTGATTTTATCTGATCTACATCAAGTTGTGACAGCTTGGACTCACCACCCTACGATCAAGATCACTTGAGCACGCCATAATTCTAACAAGAATTCTGTGAATTTGTGCCGACATTGGAAGTTTGTCTGTGACAGTGAAACTGCTTGAAAAGTCGTTCAGTGTAACAACACATCTGGCAGGTAGCAAATCACGAGATGCACCCAACTGCACTTTTTGTTGAAGACTGCCCTGACCAGACAGAGCGCTTTGTGCAGCTCGCTACGTCTTTTTTTTATTGTTGCAAGGCAACCACCAAATCACATGTCCTTAGTTTAACTGCTATTTTGCTGTGAGGTAAACTCACGGTTAAAATCTGCATTAAAATGGGCAGGTGGGGGGCACTCCGGGGCTGGACACAGGGAAACAGAAACCGTGTGGGTAAACGGGACCTTTAGATGAGAAATCACATGGAGTACCACCACCTGATCCAGAAACTTCGCCTGGGTGATAGTTGGTTCTTATTTTAGGATGAGTTGGGGACAGTTTGACCATCTGCTGGCATTTGTGAGGCCTAAATTGCAGTTGGTAAAACATTAGAAAGTAATTAAGGTGACAATTTGTTCAGATATATCTCTAGCTTGCCTAGTGGGCGACGTTGAACGCGAGCGAACATTAACTTCACACAAACCATGAACTCTACAACTCATTGTCCTCACCAGCACAAAGGGCCCACCTCTCAATTCTTCCATTTGGACATGGGAAAAAAACACCACTGATGTCGGCGCTTTTTACACTCTGGGCTGAAGTTTTTACACCTTGAGGCATTCAGGGTGCCAACTGCTTCTGCAACCATGGGGCATAGAGGGGAAAAACACAAGCAAGGCAAAAGCAGTGAGTAAAACGCCTCAGTCTCATTAAGACCATTACAAAAGCCACAAAAGGCTTCTAAAATGTGCTCTCCTAAAACTAGCGTAAAGAGACGCCGTGTAGAAACCCTTTTTTAAAATCAATTAAAACTGAAATGCCAAAAAGGAAAAAAAACTATCTACAGATCTATTTGTCTGCTTTTTTGTCTGTATTCACCGCCAACTTGATAGAATCTACATTTATTTTTAGCAGTGGAAAAAACATTAAATATACCTTCTCCATCATATCAAAGTGCACCAAGGATTGTGACAGTCTCCAATCAACAGAGCCTTGACAGGGCCAGAGCCTTGTTATTCATCACATGATTGATTCTGAGTGCGTTCCACAAAGATGTGTTTAGTGGATGTAAGAATTCAGAATGCAGACAGAGACATAGCCACGTCTGACTTTGATACTATATGGCACTACTGTAGTATGAACCTTGACATTATAGCTGGCTCCATGCCGCCATCTCCAACCTCTCATTTTAGCACAATCAGCAGACACCCTCTCTTTGAACTCACTGGCAACTTCACATTGAGGGGGACCCTAAAATAAACTTTGGTCCAGACTATTCCCATGCTTTAATGCAAAAATCACCGCTTTCTGAAGTTCTCTGTGTTTTCCACATTTGCCTGATTATGGCTCTTCTTCTGAAGCCTGGCTGTCACAAGACCAGGCTGCAGCTCCTCCTGCGAGAGCAAGAGAGAAAGAGCACAGACTCTGGCCCTAATTAGGCATCTTAGAGTAATTAGACTAAACACAGCCTTCACGCTCCACTCCGCTCATTCATCATGCTCTGCTCTAGCGCAGAGGAAATGCACTGTATGCACATGCACAAACGAGTAACACACTGGGTCAAACTGTGGCTTAATCCTCCAGGCCCCATTCACGAGCTGTGTGAGAGTCTGAAGACAAACCGGCAGTATTACACTGAATGTGTTTCTTATTGTGGAGCTGCAGACCTCCTGCCTCCACAGACTGTAGCCTAAGGAAAAGGAAGAGCCTGAGATCCAATTGAGTCACAGAGGATGAAGTAGTATGAAACAATATCCCGTGCCGCTGTTGACTTTGGGCTGGGAGAGGTAGGGGGCTGCAACACATACAATGGACGAGAGGATCAACCACTAAACCTCCATAAATCCACTTGTTTCAGACCTTGACCTCTGGGAGTGATGCTGTCTTCTAACATTTGTGGTGAGACTGCAATGGAGTGTTACGACCATGGCTTCAAAACACCGCGGCAGAAGATGATGCGGTCAGATCGTACAAATTTAGGGGAGTGACTCAGAGTCATGGTCTCTGGTTTGAGTTACCAGACAGGTGACTTCATGTTTTATTGATGCTGAATCCAGCTTTTTAACAAGAGTGACACATTTTACAACCCGCAATGATCTCATCGCAGGGATCTGCAGGGCAACAGGTTACACAAACACTCTAATGTGGTATACAAATCTCCATCTGCACTCACCAATGACGATGAGGGTATAGTTGATGTTGACGCTACCAAAGCCGTTGGTGGCTTTGCAGATGTAGGTCCCCGTGTCATCTGCCTCCACCTCCTTGATCTTCAGGCCCATGCGGAGGATACGGAAACGGATCCAGCCGCTGTGGATGTTGCGCCCATCTTTGGTCCACATTATTAGGGGCGGAGGGTCTCCTTCCACGGGACACGGCAACTTAATGGCACTCCCGAGCCGGGCCGTCTGTCTGTGAGCAACTTTTTCAGACACCCGTGGAGGTCCTGATGGCACACATACACAACAATGGTGAAATCAATCTCTGAAATCCTTCCTATCATGCTCATTTTCAGGTTCATACTTGTATTTTGAGTCTCTACCAGAGCATTTTAGATTACAAGTTTCCCTGAAGTTAGCATGTAGCCTCCTGTAGCAGTGTATGTAATGTAAACATTTGCAGTAGTGTGACTGGAGCAGATGACGTTATAAAGAAATCTGTCACGAGCTGATGTCAGCTTCTTGTAACAGTAGGAAAAAATGTTAAAAACAGAGTATTTAAAGCGTTATGATGCCTGACGTTTTTGTTCGCTTTTACATATGTTCACCTCATTATTTGAAATACTAGCCAAGTTTTATAAATATAAAGAAAATAAGGAAAAGCCTAATAGGTCTCCTTTAATATGGTTTCACAAAAGGATAACAAATGATGTGTTTGGATCTGCAGCCCACAATAACATTGAAAATGGGTTTCTGAAGCTGATGCCAATTTTTTTAGATGGTATTTCAAATCTTCCACCATTTTCGTGCCAAAAACATCAAAAATATTCTGTAATTCCCCACAATTTTACTCTTGTCAGGGTAAAATCAGGGTGATTATGAAACATCATCTAGTCCAGTGATTCACTGTGTTTTTGATCTATGATCCCTTTCAAGCAATGAAATGCCAACTTACGACCTATCATCACAGGTTGCATACCTCTTCCAGTTCAGTGAAGAGGGTGCTTTTTTCATTTCAGATTATTTCAGCAAAGAGTAGAACAAATTCTACAGAAGAATAAATATAATTTGTGGCAGAAATATGGTATTACTAGCTGGCAAAAAAATCTCAGCACAAACTCCATTCAGTAGCCATTCTGGCGCTTTAATCTAAACTTTGAAGCCAACATGGACAAGAAGTCAATGCTCACAGGATGGTAATTTGAACATCGACATACATTTTCATGACATCTGGAAAATTCTGTGTGCTAATGAAGATCATGTCATTCTATCAAAAGTCTCCAGAACAGCTGTTGGATGGACCTTATGGACGGATGGACTAAATTGTTTTAGAGACTCCTGTTTCTGAGGTCTGGATTAAATTTTAAATTTTTGTCTCTTTTCCCTGGTTTTTACTGATCTAGCCTGGAGGTTCTCAGCCTTTTTCATGTAAAAGACCACTAAATTCATACACATGAAGTCATTGACCCCCATTTTATAAGATTTCACTTCAGCAACCTTCATCTGACAAACTTTTGGTTGTTGGATTTGATTAAGACCAGTTGTCAACTATAGCTATCACATCCGATCGAACAGTCACTCTTATGACTCTTATTCACACAGTGTGCTTCAGGGATGAGTCCTAAAACCCAGAAACTAATTAACGTTCTTGCACTTTCAGTTTCCTTGTCTTGAAGTCAATGGGTTTTTGGTAAGATGCCTAAAATAAGATCTGTGGTTAACACAAGCTTCACATTTTCATGTTTTGTTCTGCAACATAAAAAATGTCAGTAAATACACTACTCATACATTTCGAAGCCTTGATGTGTCTTTCAAAAGACAGTTGCTCACAGGTTGCTAATTGAGACATACTGAACACAGCTTTACAGCCTTGTTGTGGTGGCAAAGTTAAAGTCATGCGACCGTGGTATAGTTTATTTTTGGCCTTTACTTGTGCAAATTGTATTTATGATCCAAAAATCATAAAACTGGTGCTAATTTATGCAGATTATCTTGCTGAACAGAACATGTAAGCATCATAAACATTTGTTTCCCACATATTTTATTTTCTGCAATAATCCAAAATCCAATGAAAACATCCCACTGGCTTTTTGTCGACAGGACCAGGGTGAGTTAACTTCTGTGTCGGCCCTTTAAATAAACGTCATCCCTGCAGCATTCTATTGGGCTCAATTCTGTAGTGAATTAAACAGTGAAAATGGATCTCCCTCAAGGACCCCTGGTCGAGAATCACTGATCTCGACCACATTAGACTAAAAACCACCAAAATTGTAGAAGAAAATTTGGTGTAAGCTCACCGGTGGCAGGTAAAACAATGGGATGTGCGGATTAGGCACGTCAGTGGAAAAATCATTTTATGAAACAAGCATGGGAAACTGTTATTGTAAGTTTTAGTTTTTAGGTACAGTCAGTGAGGCGCTTCCTTCATATCCAACAATTTAAAAAAAGATTACAAAATGAAATGGGTTTACTGAACAAGTGACGTTGCAAAAACATTTTTTCAAGCATCAGAGTGGGCAGCTTGGCTGTCAAAAGTGTACTGGAATCAGCAAATAAAATAAAATATCCTAATTTCCCTGACTAAAGGAGATCTAAAAACAGCTCGGATGTGGGCAGATGGAATGAGATGAGAGGTAATTTGTCATCTTTTTGTCTGATTACCCAGAAATGTTGAAACCAGATTGTAATAATTGGACAAGCTCTGTCGTCCACTGCCTGCACAGAGAGGGTAAAGTGCTCTGGCTCTGGTTTTGCGTGCGAGAGATCAAAGCGATGAGGGGGGCGGGTCGCAGTGAGACGGACAGCAGCCTGTTCTCCCTGCTCCTAATTGGCTCAGGTCTGCTCCCTCAGATCTGGTGAAGTGGAGCGGGCCGAAACAACCTGTGATGGTGTTAGGAGGCCTGCGCCACTGCTTGCACAGCACCAGGCCTTCAACAAACCCCCCCACCGCCACCAAAAACTAAACAAAACCCTGAATAACTGAGCATATGAGACACAGAAGAGTAACAGGAGATTGGAGGAGTGAAAGACGGAGAGGAAATGCAACCAAACCCTATAGCCCTCAAAAGTACACAGTCTGTGCCTCAGAACAAATGGCCGGTCTAGTAGCAGTAAAAACAATGGGGAGGGTAAGTACACATGGCCTCTCCCAACACATACACACACTCAAACGCACACACAGAGTCACATTCCTTTGGTGCATTTCACACATATGGTAAACAAAAAGATCATTATACTGATGGGGCTGCAGTGGGGGAAGGTGGCACAGGTAACCCCATCTGGCTGTTTTATTCATCACATTGCCAACAGATGTATCTCAGCTGAAGGTACAACATCTGGACTGCTGGGCTGGTGACCTTCAATGCTAAAAAAGCTGCACCCACTCATATTTTTTTATAAGTCATGCCACAAAACCCAGTGGAAAAAAGTGACACTTGCGAGCGTCACACCGATGCAAACCTCCCTTCTTTTTCTGTTTCTGTCTTTCTCAATCATGCATTAACACACACAAACTCAGTTTTCCTTCCTCTTCGTGGACGTCCTTTCCTGGTGCACAGCATGCACAGGAAATTGGAAGTGTCATTGTTTATGTCTGTGGAGAAAACGCAACCACAGTTTTTTTGGCTGTTGTCAACTGGCCCATATCTCACTCCTCTGCTACCAGGAAAGCAGAACAGAGGCGCTCACTGTTCAGTCTCTGACTCTGCAGACTCTGCCTTAGGAACACAAACAGGTCACAGCGCTGGCTTGGGGCTGCTGGAGCTCATATGGACTGAATTGATCCTTAAAGGCTGAATCGCCTTGTAAAAACAGAAATACATTTATGCCAAATCTAGAACAAATAGGCTTCAGTTATCTTCTGACTTACGGTCCCACAAGCCACTCAACCATGTGCTCCTTCTGGATTAATGGAGGGAGCTGACATACAAAAACAAGGCCTGATTCATGTCAAAGGTCTGGCTGAAGCAAACTGTCAAAACACATTGAGCCAGCGTAGACACTGCTTCTGTCAAACAAAGATTTCTTAAAGCGGGAAAGACATTTTTGATTTATATTCTTCTCGAGAAAATCAAAAGAGACAGGGCAACATCTGACTTCTCTTTTCAGTTCATAAAAATATACAACGGTGCACTACGAAACCTCTCTGCAGGGAGGACATTTGACGCTCAACTCCTGCCTTCTAGTGGAGATCCTTCTTTGAATTTCTTTTTAGGCCTCTTATCACTTCAGTTGTGTGTTTTTGATTTGTATGATCAGATGGCCTTTTGTCCGTGGTGCAGTGAAACTCTGGCTAGATTAGTTTGTTTGGTAGACGGTGATGTCTTTAAAGGTGTTTTATCATTTTTGCCATCTGACTGTTATTAATTATTCAAAGAAACTGTTTGACATTTTGAGGAATAGGCGTCTTCGCTTTCTTGCTGAGAGTAATGCTGGCATTACACCAAACAATTTTTCAAGTGATTTGGCACAGGCAAATTTCCAATGTCACAATAAGATCACGAGAACTTTCCCTAAGGTGGTGCGTGCTGCAGTGATCTCCATCATTTGGTGTAAAAGGGTCATAAAACTGAGCTGTTCTGAGTCTTTTTTTTCTCATCTTGATGTTCCAACATAATCAAACATGTCTAATGTTGTCCTAAGTTTTTAGTCTTAGCTCATGCAAATAACGAAGAGTAGGTCCACTCTCGGCAGCAGCGAACTGTGCGGACCGTAAACACAGAGGGGACTCCAGGGAGGCAGAAGAACGCAAAAAAAGTCTTGATTCTCTTGGACTGTGGAAACAGAAGATAAACTGCTGGAGGTATACAGTGAAAAAAAGTCTGTGTTTAATTCATCCTGTATCTGATCTACCAACCAGCGCTCATTTCAGGTAGAAATCTTAATTTTTTAAATGGTCCCCCTCTCATTCCCACAATCTCCTCCCACTAAAATAGTGCTGCTAACCAACAGAGGCTGGTAGCGAGTTGATGCGACAAAATCACAGTTTACAGTTTATCTTTATGGATTATATTGATGCCGAATTGATAAGAATGCTGTCGACATATGACACCTTTTATCTTCTGTTTCTAGAGTCGTGTTTTTTGCAGGAGTGCATGGAATTGTTAAAATGTCGTATTCCTTAAAGAGACTTTGGTGTAATATTTTCCACCAGGAGCAGGATGAGAAATAATCGCTGAAGAAATCTAGCTGTAGTCTTAGTAGTGACGCTGTAAGATCCCCTGTCTTTGTAAAATCTCAGTGTGTGACTAAAAACTCACGTTATCTTTAGATGTGTGAAGGTGCCAGA